TCTGTGACGTAAACAACGTGTATTCGGTAGACGCTAAACCAACGTGAACTTATATCTTAACTGACCAGTGAAATTCCGTTACAGTGCGAAACTAAATTTATTTTTGGAAAATTGGATATCTGGAAACCATTAATAAATAATAGGTGGATTTATATTCAATGCGACCCAAATAATTTCTATAGATTGTATTAAGTCTCAATTATTTGAAACAAATATTCTGGGCACAGGCATAATTACAATTCCTGATGATTGTATTGGATTTTGCAAAAGCACTATATGTGTATTGTTTTCTATAATATCTAATGTTCTAAATTACCCATAAATTATATACCTCATCAATGTTACTTGTTGTAATATTAATAAGTTCAACCATGTTGTAGAAAATGTTTCTCCTTTTAAGTTACAAAATGTAGATTTAGATGAATTTAATTCAAAGAATAAAATAATTATTGATTCTTTATTAAGTGACCTTAATACAATAGAAAATAAACCTCACATTATTAAATATGGGACACATTATTCTATCAGTATTATTATCATTTCTATCTTAATCCTGTTGTATTTTGGATATTTGAGTTTTGGATTTTTGGAGCTTTTCCATCGATCCCGTAACATCCGCCTTACAAAAAATAATATTAGTAGCACTCCTAAAATGAAATTCATAAAGATTTCACCTTAATCTCATTTAAAATTTATACAACCTGAGATTGAACAATATAGTGATTCTAATGTTGCACCGCTTAGAATTAGAACCCAAGTTTAAAGTTATCATTAATGAATTAGTAACTAGAGATTTTACAATATCATCCCTGAAATTTCTTCTTAAGGGGGAAGATGTTATATAATGTTGACTTAGACTTAAGGTTCAGTTAGTATCGCAGTGGAAATAAAACAGCAGTTCGGCCACAGTAGTATGTTTCCATCTTTGATCCTGCTCGATTGTCTAAGGACCTAAGTTAAATTTTAACCAATTTGTAATATATAATCCATTTATACTATAATTAAATGTCGGTGTTTTAAATAATTGTTTTTTTAAAAAACCAATCAGCCCGTCTTCGTATAACAGTTCGCAGAAACGACCACAGGAACAATTTCGGTCGGCAGATCACCTTACATGTCGGTCATCTCGTGTGCCAGGTCCAGATATTCTGTTTTCTTATCTGTTTCGGCTTTCACGAGGTTCTCGTCATACGGAATGGTAATGTCGACCAAAAATAAACTTGACTGTGCCCGGTCCACCAGCATAATATCAGGCTTATTCGCAAGAATAGTCCTGTCTGTGACAATGGCCCGGTCCCAGTAGATCCTGGCGAGGTTATTTTCGAGCACGGCTTCCGGCAAGTACTTATAATAAGGCAGTTTCCGATCCACGAGACCGTATTTCAGAGCGAGCTCCTGGTGTAGAATCCTGGCTACTAGGTTGTGTCTGTGCAAATACTGTCGTAAAGCGACAATTAAAAACAAAAGAACTTAACCTAACAACAACGAAACAACAAAAAAAGAACAAAAAAAATAATTTATTTAAAATTTAAAAAGATATTTACAGTTTTATATAAAAAAATGAAGTATGATAATGATGATGGGTGACGTGAATTACAATTATTTTAAAAAAGATAATAAAGATAGATGAGTACTGAAGTGGAGCCCGAAGACCAAAGTGGCTCACCGCTCACGGAGTATGCACAGGCTGTGCCTGTGGTAGGCGAGCAGCGCCTGGTCTAGGCACACGCAGCGCCTGGAGTAGGCACACGCAGCGCTTGGAGTAGGCACACGCAGCGCCTGGTCTAGGCACACGCAGCGCCTGGAGTAGGCACACGCAGCGCTTGGAGTAGGCACACGCAGCGCCTGGAGTAGGCACACACAGAACGGAAAAATTATTTAAATTAAAAGCAAATTTTTGTAAATGGCCAAGAGGAAAAGAGTATTTTTGTTGAAGTATTGAAGTAAAAACATCAGACCGGTAACGAATTTGAATAAAAATTGCCATGACAACCAGATAAACAACGATGTCAAAACATGTCAAATTTTGATTTCAGGCTCGTAATAGAGAAACGGCAAGATTTAAGTGAAAAATGAGATATTATTGATATAGGAAAAAGGTAGCGCACCAGCGCGCACGAAGCCCGAAATTGCAGAGTTACGGAGAACTAAAGATCGAAAAAGGTAGACTCCATCGACATCGATTTAAAAAGTGCTGATAACGTGAAAATACGAAGTGAAAATGATTTGTTATTGTGTTCTTATGGTTTAAAAACGTTACAGGATCCTATGGAAATAAAGGTGATACAAAATATCCAGTTTTGAGGTGAATGCAGAAAATCAAAACAGAATGGAAAAATGAATTTAAAATAGTGTAAAATGATATATAAGTAGCATAACACTACAATACTCAGAGTTAGAAATTATTATAGCTCCTGGAGTTTTTAACTTTCAACTTTAATTCACTTGTGTTGTCTTAGCACCGCCTTCTGACGCTGTTATATAGCAAACTATTTTACTTATTTATATTAAAAGTCACGTCAAGTATTTTCTTGGTGACTTCTATTCGCCTAATAAGCGATGCTCGAGATACATTGCTTTTATAGACTTAACAATCTTTGTTTTAATAGAATATGGGTGACAAACGAGCACACAGTCCACTTGATGGTAGATGGATGCTGTGGCCCATAGCAGATACGTTGTCACCCATGAGGACTAAGATGGAATGCCTTATTTTCAGTAGTTACCATAAGAAACACAACAGAATTAAGCTGGTATTTGACGCTGGTATTCTGTGAGACCGCGGTTCTTCCTCGGTCGAGCCTACTTTTTCGTGCTGGAACCAAAATATAGGTGCAACGTAGCTCTACCGCTGATCTACTCGCAAAGGGTTTAAAGCGTGAAAATTTTAAAAAAGCACTTTGTAAATATCATTCTACACGTGCCATAAAAGTCGTGTCAAGTTCATCGCGTTGATAAATAAACTACACCTTCGTAATTATGAAACAATTTCACTCAAACTGAGTATAAATACGGAGAAATATTAACATATTTCTAATCTAGAAAATTGAACCGCGCGAGCAATTTATAATTACTAAATAGTGAGTGATTGAATGTTACTAACTCTATATGCAAGTGTAGTAAGCGTATATATCGTTCACATGGCCACAGAAACATTACGATATCGAAAGTCACGTGTGTTTTAGTGAACTAGTAAGTACCCTTAGTTTTAACTAACCTAATTAATTTCACTCGTTTTACTGAAAACGTTACGTTCGAGCCGTGAATCGTAAATTCCAATTGTTCCTGACGCCTAAGTTTATTAAGGCATACTAATCTACTTTGTTTACGTTCAATTTGAATTCAATAAAATTATTTTAAGGTGACATTGTTCTAGTAAAACTTTTTATGGTTTTTTACCCTCCGTAAATCTAATTAAAATTTAATTATTGCGCTAGCATATTCGATACTTATCGATTTTTTTTAATTTAATTTTAACTCATTCATCATCATCATCATCATTATTACAGCCTTTCACAAGTCCACTACTGAACATAGGCCTCCTCCAAGGAATGCCACAAAGCACGGTCCTGAGCCACCTGCATCCATCGACTTGCTGCATGTCTATCTAGTGGGGGGTCACCCTACACTTCGCCTACCAGTACGAGGCTGCCACTTGAGAACCTTTCTTCCCCATCGGTTGTCGGTTCTTCGAGCTATATGGCCGGCCCACTGCCACTTCAGCTTACTAATCCGTTGGGCTATGTCGGTTACTCTGGTTCTACTGCGTATATCCTCATTTCTAAGTTTATCACGCAGAGAAACCCCGAGCATAGCCCTCTCTTTAGCTCGCTGAGCGTACCTTGAGCTTCCTCATACGGCCAGCAGTGAAGGACCACGTCTCAGATCCGTAAGTCATCACTGGCAACACGCACTGGTTGTACAATTTCGTTTTAAGGTTTTGAGGTATGTCTAACGAGAAGATGTGTCGTAGTTGCCCGCTGCCCAGCCGAGTTGAATCCGTCGATTGACTCATTAATACGTCTCATTACAAAAACTAGTTTATACGTAGTCCCAGCTTTAAATTAAGGTTTGTTTTAATGAAGAAGTGCCACGGTATAAAAATAAGTGAAATATAATGTAAAGTTTGGAATTGACAGCACGTCACTGTAGCGCCAGACATGACAAAGACTCGAATTTGTATATGCCTAATGAATGATATACCTTGATGCCGAATTTGAAGTTTATATGTCAACTTGAAGTAATTTGGGTGAAGATAATATGATTTCGAGTGAATAAAGGTAAAAACGACACTTTACAGACATTAACAACTCAAGAACTACAACAGGTTAATTCATAAAATTTGGAATTGTAGGAATTCAAGGGTGCCTCAACAAAAAATTATATTGGTCCAAAAGTTTGCGAGTTATGAGGGATTCGAAACTAGCTCGAAATGGTTTGTGTGAATACACACTACTCGTGCGTTACCGTTTTCGAACTTAGCTGGCAGCAGTAGGTACGCTGTTTCTATTTAATAAAAAAAATATTCATATAAGTTTGACAAGTGTACTTGAATTAATTATAAAACTGACCAGTTTTTGTACGGCTCATCAGGGTATATATCTTAATAATACTAAACCAATTTTAATAATAATATAAATAATTTATACATATAAATAAAATTAAATTGTCTATCTGTAATATTGCAATAAGTGCCATTTATTAAGCTCACTAAGTTATTTGCACGATATTAAGTTTAAGTATTTTTTTTTAATTTATAAAATGGCTAAGTATAGCCATTCAGCGAGAAAACGCAGCCGACGTTCTTGGCACTATAGGACGCGGAGTGAGACTGTATTATAATTTCAGTTTTTATTTTTAGTTTTTTTTTATTACATTGTTTTTTAAATATTGTATATATTTCAATGCTATGTAAATAAATGATATTTTCTTAAAAACTACTTTATATATTAAGGTTTTAATACAGGTTTTAATATTCAATAAAATAACTCTTGTTACAGGCCTCCGCATAAGAATCGCAAACTTAGTATTCAAGCTCCTGGCCTGCGTCTTGTACATCTTTCGCGTTTGCGCCGATGGCGACCCTATCTCCGCATCTTGGTGAGATATCTTTTGTATATCTACTTAATTAATTTAATAAACCTTACCATGTGGTGGCGAGGTAAGTGAATCCATTACCGTATTTTGTCCTGTAGTCCCTTGGTGTCATAAGTGGCGTGTTTAGGAAATTCTAAAATGATTTAATGCTAAAAAAATTTAATGGAGGCCCCTTAGATGGTAGTATAACAGAGGTAACTAATAGCAGCTTCAATGGTTTCTACCATAAACTTAAAATATACTGGCGTATAAACGACATGACAGTCCGAAAATGCGTGACTAATTTTGATTTGTTTATGATTATTTCTATTATTAACACTACAGTCACTTACAGAACAAGTAACCATTTTGGAAAAAAAGTTACTTACTAAAAATAACCAATAGTACACTCAAAAAAATTACAAAATATCTAGGAGCTATTTCTTGCGTGCCGATATGTGCCGATCTGTCATTCAAAATCGGTTATAGAGTCATTATATCTGGTATCCTTTTTTATCTTGCATTTTTACCACAAGGAATTTTCTTCTCCCTTGCACACTGTGTTGGTCTATACGCCAGTATATTTTAAGTCTATGGTTTCTACATTCGATTAGATTACGATAGGGCTACCTCTGTACGATATGATTTATATATATATATATATATATATATATATATATATATATATATATATATATATATATATATCGCAGCCAAATTACTTAATTAGCCTTTTAGTTAACAGTCTAGCCTTTCCACTAAACGGTTTAACTAGCGGCCTGAATGATATTCAGCCGATGCATCTAATACAAAATTGCATCTATCTTGTAATGTGACAGTAGGTTAAGGTGCGGCTGAGGCGGCCCTTGGACTATCCTAAAGTCGCGTACATTTATATAACACATATTTATATGACCAACGACCGTCTCGTTGAATAAGATTTAAAGTGACCATGCTATGTAATGTAACAACAACATAGTCTGTTAATTGAAAGGCTAATTAATGTAGTTGGCTGCGACATATATACGAGTGTGTATATACATAATTATGTATTACTTATTATGTGATATGTTGATGTCAAATGTATATAGGTAAATATTACTTATATATATATTACTACCTAATGTAAGACAAACTTACATTAGTCTGTCGTTATAGCCTATCAAAGTCCACTGCTGAACACAGACCTCCCTATAGATTGGCTGATAAGGGTTATTGCCATAGTTGCCACGCTTGGCACGCGGAATGGCAACCGCAGTTATTGCATTTTTATTTTATTGTTTTATTAGGAAGACGCTGCTACAATACTCCTGGTTTATCTCCTTAAGTTGCCTCTTACGACACCCACGGTACGATGTCAGATAGTGGATATTCTTACACCGCCACTACACGGTTCTCCGTAGTAAATTTGTCACTGTTTGTTTAACCTAGTAAACGATTCATAAAAAAATTGTGCGTGTATTTGTGTACAAACCTAAGAAGTGAAACTTCTTTACGACGTATCATTCTTCTTTTATTTTCTACCGACTTCAAAAAGGAGACGGTACTCAATTCGACTGTATGTTTTTTTTACGTGTGTAACGTCATAACTTTTTACTGGGTGGACCGATTTCGATGATTCTTTTTTATTTGCAAGCATGTGCTTTACATGTGGTCCCATATAAATTTGATCGAGGTTTGACCAATAGTTTTTAGTTATTATTAATAATTTATATTGAAGTCGGTTGTACAAAATTTTTAATTTTTAATTATTTATTTTACATAAGTAAGTTAAATAATAGTATACTCACGCAGCTCCAGTGGTGAAACGTTACAAGAAAACGTGACTTTTTTATAATACTCTATACTACGTTGATATAGAAGTTTCACTTCAAAAACATGACGTGAGGTACTGCGGTCAATCCGCCTGCTAAACGCGATGATTAAAGCATTTTCTCCTACAAAGGGAGAGGTCAAAGACGGACGAGGGACGAAGTGGCAAAACATGCAGGAATTCGATGGATGCAGATAGCTCAGGACCGTGCTTTGTGGCGTCCCTTTGGGGGATGCCTATTCTTAGCAGTGGACTTGTGAAGGGCTGTTATGCTGATGATGGTAAATGCACCTGAACATGACAAAACAAAAAATTGTGTTTCACCAATACTCATGGTCCAATTCTGCAAAACATCTCAAACCTACGTTACACTTTTACTATATTTACCTGTATAGTTTCATCATCATCATCATCATCATCATTACAGTCCTTCACAAGTCCACTGCTGAACATAGGCTCAAGGAGTGCCACAAAGCACGGTCCGTCGACTTCCTGCATGTTTACCAGGTCGTCACTCCATCTAGTAGAGGATCGCCTTACACTTTGTCTGCCGGTTATGGTACCGGTATGTTTTGAAAATTATATTATGTATGATCTTTTATGGTCAAATTTATAGGCAATTTATCGAACAACTGTCTTGTGCTTGCGCTTAGTTTTGACAACAATACTAGAAACTAAATTTATCGTACAGTTCTCTTCCCTGCGATATAATACCAAGAGAGCTGACTACGTATCCTTGTTGAACCAATTAAATCTTGGTTTAGTTACGGTTGCAAGCCTGGGAACAAGACTGAGTTCGAGTATTCTGCCAACTTGACGGAGGAAGAGTTTCAAGAGCGTCCAATCATCAACTGGGATGGGATCATTTGGGTAAATCGCCCACTGTACTTGTGGATCGTCCAGGTCGTCTTAGCAATGATATCTTTCGCCGAGGCCATATTGCTCGCCTATTTAGGCTACAAGGTGAGTAGCCTTAAAATATTTACCAAATTTTAAATATTAGGGTGACAAGTGCACAAAAACCACCTGATGACGGATGCAGAAATATCTCTATCTCCATCTATCTTCGATTAAAAATCAAAGTGTAGATACATTGTCAACCCTGAGTACAAAGATAAGAAGAATTTCTCGTTACTAGTAAAAAAGGGTATATTTAAAAATGTCATTAAATATACTGGGGCTCTACACGCTATTATTAGGAGTCAGAATGTGTCAAATAAGGCACGTATGGCAATTCATCATGCTGTGTTAGTCCCTACTTTAATGTATGGTAGTGAAAGTTAGGTCTGGTAGAAGAAGCATGAGAGTAGAATAAATGCTGTAGAAATGCGGTCCTTAAGGAGTATGCTAGGGCTGAATCTGAATGACAGGGTGAGAAATAGTGTGATAAGAGAACAGTGTGGCTTGCAAGATGACGTTGTGACAAGGATTAAGAAAGGAATGCTTCGGTGGTTTGGTCATGGAGAAAGAATGAACGAGGAAAGAGTTACAAAGCAAATATATGTTGCAGAAGTGAACGGCAGGGTCGGGAAGGGACGCCCTAGACGAAGGTTTATCGACCAAATCCGCGATACATTAAAAATGGGCCAGATTAGAAGTACCCTTAACCGACGAGCGTGTATGCGTAGATATATGGATGTAAAGAAGGCGAGAGAGGTGTGTCAGGATCGCGCCAAATGGAAGTCCGTAGTCTCTGTCTACCCCTCTGGGTGACAGGCGTGAGTTTTTGTGTGTTTGTGTGGGTATCATTAAATATTTTTATGAATAAATAAATTATTATAATTCTATATTTAAACTAGAGAGTATTAATTTGTGTAGTACCTCTAAAAGGAAATGTAAAAATGAGTTGAAGAAAAATAAACGACAAGTTGATTGCCTCAGGTACAATTTAGATTTAACTTTTTTCACAAAAAAATAATTAAGCCTTTGAAATGTCGTTGGAATTTGAAAGACAATTTGCTTTTGAGCTACTTATAACGCAGTTAGGTAAATTAAAAAAAAACTCATTCATGTTTACCTTTTTGAATAACAAATTATATTTACAAATAAATAGATAGAAATTATGGTGTAATCAGTTTAGAAAATGCATTTTTTTTGAATAATAATTTTCTTTTTTTCTATTTAAGGGTAACATCTGGCAGCAAGTGCTATCTTTCCACTTCATACTGGAAATGGTGAATACGATCCCGTTCGCGCTAACTGTGAGTACCCTTATTTTAATGGAAATCATCGCGAAAAACTTGAATTTCATATCGAATACCAAATGCGTCTATGTAAACATATAAGTCGTATATATATAGAATAAAGTCTTTGACGTATACGGGTGGGCAAATGTTTTTTTTTTTCAGGATAAGGGTGACAAACGAGCACATAATCCACCTGATGGTAAGTGTTAGCTGTTCCTCATAAACTTCTACATATATTCTCGATTATGAATCAAAATGCAGACGCGTTATCACCTGAAAGGACTAAGATGGAATGCCTCGTTTCCACTAAAAAGGGTCTCCGGTTCTCTACACTCAGCATACGAAACACAGCGGCGTTCAGCTGCTATTTTACGCTGGTATTCTGTGAGAGCGTGGTCCTTTCCCGGTCGAGCTGACCCATTTGTGCTACAACTATACCACTAATTTAGCTACACTATCGCTCTACCACGTAAACGAAAAATGTTTCAAGTTAGTTTTCCACTCAGATTGTTACCAAGCTGTTTTTTTTTTGCTTTTTTCTGAATTGGACCTGTATTACTCATCTAAACTTTTTATGTAAATGCTTTCATATCTATTTAATACGTAAACCTACATTTTTACCCCACTGCCCCAAAAAGAGGTTAATGTTTTTCGAGAGTATGCATGTATATATGTTTTTTTTTTTTATAGGATTAGGGTGACAAACGAGCACACAGTCCACCTGATGGTAAATGGTTGCTGTGGCCCATAGACATCTACATCTATCCTCGATTACGAATCAAAATGCAGATGCGTTGTCACCCGTGAGGACTAAGATGTGTCGTCTTGATTATGGTTTAGTAATATAGCTTATATAATATTAATGTATTGCATCTGAAAATGCAAAAAATGGTCGGGTTTGTTAATTACTGTTTTGGCAAGCTTACCGTTACAGCCTGTTGAAGTCCACTGCTAAAAATAGGCCTCACCCATAGATTGTCTCAGTGGGGGGACCATAGTTACCACGCTTGGCAAGCAGCCTGGCAACCGCTGTTTATTTTTTATTTTTGTAGTTATTAGGAAGACCCTGCCGCCCATATCCTGGTTTGTTTCCCTCTGTCGCCTCTTACGAATTCCTCGCGATGATATGGGGTAATGGATATTCTTACCTCTACTCAATTCATTAATCTTGTTTAGGGAGAACTTTCCAGTAATTTCTATCTGGGATAATGTAATATAAAAAAAAACGTGTGCGTGTACGTATGTATGTACCCACGTAGGAAGTTATACTTCTTTAGCGTAACAAAACAAAAATAACCAAAAATTATATATGGTCCTGGTGACAATTAATTGACGGCTCCGTGGCGCAGTGGCGTAGCAATGAGTTGCAGGGCTAAGGGCCGCGGGTTCGATTTCCCCACGGAATAAATGTTTGTTTGGCCTACAAAAACGTATTCTGGGTCTGGATGCTTATTCTTGTGAAATCTATGTATGTAAACTGCCCCCGCGATACAGGAGAAAATCCAAGCGGTGAGGTAATGTTTTCAAAAAAATGTAAATACATCAATCACGTCTTTTGATGGGTAAATTTAACCTCTTGTATCTTTATAAAGATATAAACAAATATATTAAGTTCTGCTGAGAAATCAAAACTGCGATACAATCTCCATACTTAAGTTTGTTTTGCAATTCTCTTCCTTCTCTATCCACATTTAATATACCGCAAAACATTTTTTTCTTATGTGCATGAAAAGAAAATCACATAATGCTAACATACATTGAAGTGGCAGAGAATTTGTATTATATAAATATAATAATATATATGTTAAATTATTTTAGATCCTATACTTTTTTTGAGCATGTCCATTGTTTTCTTTGTCTATTATTATTCTCATTAATTTAGATATTGTTTTTAACATTTCCATCTTTCTTGGTGTCACTTCAACACGCAGATAAGCTAGGTACAGATTCAATATCTCTGTATTGATATGTAAATGATCTACGTGGAAGGTGAAGATCAACCTAGCATTCAAACAAATTAAATAGACAAGGCAGACTAATTTCACATAACTTAAGTAAGGCAAGGGCAGTGTAACATATAATCTAGTTTAGCAATAATATACGAGTATACTCGTAGAAGAATAATTCAACTTTTATTCAATTATTTTGTCTACAAAATTGTTAATATATGCAGTAAGATATTAAGAAAATCATTCTATTGTTATGATTGTAATACAAAATGTATAAACTATATATTTTGAAACACCCATTTTCAGCAGAATAAATTACATCTTTCATTATTTATTTCACTATGCTTTCAGAGAGAAATGTCAGATGATTTTGAATTATCATACTGCCTTTGATAGGAACATCAAATTAGTTTTCATAAAATTGTAAACTCAACATGAGCACACTATCATTATTGATTAATTAGACAAGTGTAACAAAAAGGTAATCTGAATGATTTAACAAGTGGGATGCGGGAAGTAAAGACTGTGTAAGAACCTCCGAAGGAGGCGGAGTTATAGCCGAAATAATAACTTTAATTTTTTTTGGCCATTTTGATCCCCTAGGAGTGTAATGAGAACTTTTCTCCCCTATTCAACCATGACCTCCATGACATCCTATACATGATAGGCTATTCAAACTGACTAGGCCTCAAGTTCAAGTCACCCCCCCCCCCCCAACCTAATTCTAGTCTTTATCACCAATTACTACCAAAAAGGCTATTGCAGAACAGAAACACTTTGCAACTTTCTTTTTTTTTGACTAGAGAAGCAGTTTTGAAGAAAGTGATTGCTACATATCATAGAAGATTTATGTGGAGTCCAATTTTATATATTTAACATCAGAAACCTCTTTTCTCCAATCTCTGTATTTATAGGGAATTTGAAAATAATTTGATGTTCGGTTTCAATAAATGGACATTTCACATTATATCATCATAACCATTTAAGCTTGTATGTTAGTGGTCAGTGCAGTAGTTGTCCCTGTCATTATGGAATATTGGTGTCTGTGTCAATCTGAACCAAAGTTTATCAAAACGTTTGTAAACACAAATTTTCAATTCATTAATGAATTAATTACTCATTTTAATTAGCTAATAAACTCGATACATTAGGCACAAATCCTCTATAATAATTAATAAGCTTAAAATGATTTCAACTCTGTGACATTATTAGTGCATTTACTTTCCAGCATTGCTTTCACTTTATTGTTTGATTTACGTAGTCCTGACTTATCTATGATATAACTTAAATACTTAATAGTCTTTAAATAAATCGCATTTATTTTTTTTTAATCTAAGCTCTGATTCATGTAATTTCCTAAGTACTCGATGCAATCGGTTTAGGTGTTCCTCTTTTTTTGGGGCCGTTATTAAAATATCTTCTAAAAATACGCAGACTCCCTCAATACCTGATAAAAGTTGATGAATTGTTTTCTGAAAGATACTTTACACATGGTAGAGCCATGCTGCAGCTATATTAGTAGCATGAATGGGTAGGCTCAACCGGGGAAGGACCACACTCTCACAGAATACCAGCGTAAAATAGCAGCTTAACACTGCTGTGTTTCGTATGGTGAGTGTAGAGAACCGGAGACAACGCATCTGCATTTTGATTCGCAAACGGGGATAGATGTAGATGTCTATGGGCCACAGGAACCACTTACCATCAGGTGGACTGTGTGCTCGTTTGTCACCCTATCCTATAAAAAAACTAGGGGCTGTCCGAAAAGTAATCTATCATAACAAAATAAACCTATGTGGGTGTTCATACACATTATTTTTTTAGATTCGTCTAACTCCAGCCGATTATAGGCTCTAGTAAATTCTAACTTTTGAAAATTGGACGCCGCCACGAAGCTTAGCAAATAAATATTCTACTCCTGGAAGAGGATATTTATCAGAGTATAAAATGTATTAAACGTCACTGGACAATCACCACATATACGTATGTTACCGTCTGACCGAAGAACGGGTACGATCAGTATCCCTACCTCTGAATAATCAACTCGTTCCAAAATACCTAAATCTAAGAGTTTATTAATTTAATTCTAACTCAACTTTATGTTTCAAAGCTAGTGGTACTGTTTTTGGCTTAAATACTTTAACTGAGCATGTTACTTTATATTTATTAAAAGTACCCAGTCATCTTTAAACAACTGTGAATATGTTTGCTTCAGTAGTTTTACTAAGTCGTTCATATTGTAAGTTGTTACAGTTACCAGTACACAGTTTTATATAAACGACATTATAAAAACATTACCTAAGAGGACTGGTTGTTTTACATCTGTTTTTATAATATAAAAACGAATAAATTTCAGTACGATTTTCATATGTCACCAGCATAGAACACAATTACTCTATACAGAGTGGTCACCGGTAATAAACATTAGCCCAAAGGAGATATTTTCGAGTCATTAAAACAATTAAAAAAATAATGTTACAATGGTTTAATGAATAATCATTGTGCAAATAGGATTGATAAGCATTCTCCGGTAGAACAGATACTACTGTCTGTTTCACATAAAATTCGCTCACGCTAGCGACACGACCGCTCTCATTGGTGTACCATTTAAGCACCCAATATGATAAAAATCGTACCTATTTTACTAAAACCTATATTACTAAATCGTTGTCATCCAAATAATTGTTACTCTTATAACCACTCTTACAAACACGTTTTAAAATGCCTTTTTTTATTACACTTTTGACAAAAATAATTCGCATATCGACATTTATGGTTCTTTCCACAAACTAAACAAAATATGTTTTTTTCTGCAGTTTGACGAACAGAATTTCCTTGGGCTCGTAAATCGAAAATAGGTTGCGTTACCGCTGATGATATGGCTAGTCCCTCATCGTGCAATAACCTTTGAACTGCATCTCGAGCACATCGTACGCTTTGTGCTAATTCCAACGCTTTGTTGAATGTCAAGTTATCGATGTTTTCACTAAAAAGCTTTTCTTTTTCGTTGGCATTCGCCAATCCTAGCACCAACTTGTGCCTTATTGCCGTCTCGAGTTATATTTTAAAACCACAAAACTGTGCGAGATCGTCATCACCAGGGCCGCCAATTAAGTTGTCTTCGCCTATATGTTCCGCTTTATAAAAAACATATATTTCAGCAAACATACATTTCTTTGAGGAAAACTAGTCGTCTATCTTTTCAATAAGAGTATTATTAGCTAAGTCTTCTAGTTTTAACGCATAAACTAAATCACGTACTAGGTGATATGTATCTTCTGCTAATGATGTGAGCAAAAAAGCTATTCTCATAACTCCTGCTTTGTCAGTGTTGTCATGATCATTGTGATGAATCGTTTGCCATACAGAACTGGACAAGTCTAGGTACTCTTAAAAATATCCCACTATCGCATGTGGTGATCAAATGTGAAGTTGTTTGTTTTGTGAAAACTTGAGAGACAATTACCAACTGAAGTTGTCTCTTTTAGGTGACAGTGTGCGCGCATTGTAACAACTTTATAGTGTCGTTTTTATGTGAGAGAAAAAATGCACTCTGATCATTTTTCCTGAATGCGCCAAAAGAAACATATCTTCAAAACATTGACTTTATTTTCTCCAGTAGCACTGAGTTGCTACTACTCAAGTAACATAGTTATTATGCCAGTCAACGATATCTGTAATATTTAATGCAATACAGTATTTTTTATACTAACATTTACTATTTTAAATAAATTCCATTCGTTTTCTTTTACTATATTTTGTCAAGTACGCTATATAACCTATTATATACCTTTATATTATATATTATAGTACCTTTATCTATACAAATAAATAAAATTGAAGTGTTTGTTTGTAATGTTAAAATTACAGCTTTTTACTAAATGCATATGAAAGTAAATACGGCACTTATAACTAAAATACAATTTTTAAAATTTTTGTCTGTCTGTCTGTCTGTTTTTCCGGCTAATCTCCGAAACGGCTGAACCGATTTTGACGGGACTTTCATTGGTAGATAGCTGATTTCACAAGGAGTAACATAGGCTATTTTTATTTTAGAAAAATAATTAGGGTTTCGCGCAAAAACATAAAAACCCTAACACGCGGGCGAAGTCGCGGGGAGCAGCTAGTATTATATATAATTCTTGTGTACGTGTGTTTGTCACTGAACTCCTCCTAAGCGGTTGGATCGATGTTGATGAAATTTTAAATAAGTGTTTGAATAATTCCCTGGATGGTTTAGGTTCAAAATTGGACCCGTAAGATCCAGAAATCACCTGTGCGAAGCCGGGATGATTTGCTAGTTGATTGCGTAAAATAATTTAATTTTAAATTAACACATTCTATTTATTTAATGATATATCATTTGTCACAATTTTATGTTGCTATATATCGTGTTCTAAACTGAATCTTGTTTTAGAGAGTTTAATATAGAAAAGAATTAAATAATTCCCGGATAGTAGATTCTCAAGTCGAGGCTTTAAATATTCCATACGTTAACGTTAGAACACACACTCATACACACACACACACACACACGCACGCGTGCGCACACACACACACACACACACACACGCACGCACATACATACACACACACACACACACACACACACACACACACACACACACACACACACACACACACTTCTAGATTTCATTATACGTATATATATATTTTATTATACGTACGAGTATAGCTAAATTCTCTTCCGGACTAACAGAAGCATCAGTAATCATAATTACAACAAACTTAAAAAAGGGAAAAAATGCCCCTTTTTTACTCTCCCGTAAGCGGATAAAAAGTTAAAGCTTTATGTTATACGCCCTAATTTTGTGCCTACATACAAAATTTTACGAAAATTCGTCCGGTAGTTTTTGCGTGAATCGTGAACACACAACTTTTCTACATATTTGTTACATGTATAGATTTTATATCATTATAATGTACGCGGCTTCGCCGGCACATCAACACCTTAACCTACTGTTATTCCACAGACAACCTAACCGAACTAGTTAAAGTGAGAACTTAATATTTTTTTCGGATTTACACACTGTAGCCTTAACAGATACACTGTTTTAGCACCGTCTTCAGAAGCTATAACGTGGAAATTATTATATTCTTTTGAATTTCAGAAGTAATTTTTCGTTAGTTTTTTATGTGAAGTTCAAGGCTAAATTATAAATAAACTGTGTATTACAGATACTCTTCCCACCACTTCGAAACTTGTTCATCCCGGTGTTTCTCAACTGTTGGTTGGCCAAGCGGTCCCTTGAGAACATGTTTGTGAGTATACTTTTGAATTTGATGTTTTACCACTTGATGTATTAGTGCTAATAGTGAATACCTATTTTTCTTTAGAACGATCTGCATCGGGCAATGCAAAAGTCGCAGTCGGCGCTCTCCCAGCAACTAATGATTTTGTGCGTCACACTCTTGTGTCTCGTCTTTACCAGGTAATTAGTTATGAATTAGTTTCTTCTACTTTTCTCCTTCTTTTTCTCTTTCTTCATTGTGAACTCCATAACAGTTTATTAGTGAATAAGGTACTCTCCCATTTCCGAATTTTTTTAATAGAATAAGGGTGGCAAACGAGCACACAGTCCACCTGATGGTAAGTGGTTGCTGTGGCCCATAGACATCTACATCTATCTTCAATTAAGAATCAAAATGCAGATGCGTTGTCACCCCTGAGGACTAAGATGTAATGCCTCGTTTCCAGTAAAAAGGGTCCCCGGTTCTCTACACTCACCATACAAAACACAGCAGTGTTAAACTGCTATTTTACGCTGGTATTCTGTGAGAGCGTGGTCCTTCTCCGGTCGAGCCGACTTATTCGTGCTACAACTATACTACTAATATAGTTGCAGCATGGCTCTACCACGTTAAGCCGCATTGATTTTATAGAATAAATGAGACAAACGAGCGCACAGTCCCCCTGATGGTTTGTGTATGATGTGGCTCATAGACATCTACATTTATCTTCAATTAAGAATCAAAATACAGATGCGTTGTCACCCGTGAGGACTAAGATATAATGCCTCATCCACATTAAAAAGGGTCTCCGATCTCTACACTCTCCATACGAAATACAGCAGCGTTAAGCTGATATTTTACGCTGCTTATGGTTTTACGCATAGTTACCATGCGTAGAAAGCAGATTGGCGACCGCTGTTTTTTTATTTTCTACGTTTTATTAAGACACTGCTGCCCATCTCCTGATTTGTTTCCATCAGTCGCCTCTTACGACACCCACGGGTAAACAGCGTTTGTACCCATTAATAAAATGTATCTACAATAATGCAGCCAATAAAATTCAGGTTTGTTATTGGGATAACAACGGCAAAAAATTATCCGTTTTTCCAATCCTCAGTTAAAATTACAAAATTACAACTAAAACAAATAAAAAATAAAAATTACAGTTTTATGAATAAAAGACTTCGATTGTTTCACTTATACATTGGAAGAATATCCAGGTTATAATTTATTAGATGGATGGAGCTTTTGATTGAACTTGATGGATGAATCTGATGATTGAAAAATCAGAGCTGAGTATAATTAGTCGATAAAAGCTTTTAGAAAAATTTACTTCGCAAATATCCGCGTTATAAAATAAAATAATGTGTCTCACCTAGTATGAAGAGCACCTCCCGCCACGGTTAGCCAACCGCTAAGTCTTAGCGGTTAGCCACCGTAGAGTCTATAGTCTATAGTCACCTGAGAATGCCTCGTGTAGAGGCGAAACACGTGTCGTATTATCGTCAGTGGTGTGTGTTGCCTAGTGTAGTGGTGTTGGGAGTAGCGGTGCTGGGATTAGTGGTGACGGGGATAGTGCACGCAATTGAGGGAGGGCGGGAGGTGCTCTTCATACTAGGTAAGACACATCATTTTATTTTATAACGCGGATATTTGCGAAGTAAATTTTTCTAAAAGCTTTTATATAATGGATTTCCGCAAAGTAACGCCTGATTCTATTAATTATCATTAGCCGGCTACAAATCGAACATTTGAATCAAATGTTATATGTTTTTATTACGTTTCTTCCTGCGAATAATTAATTTTCAATATTATATGCTTATTTATTACGATTGGATTTCATGGGTTTTGGATTTTTTACGCTGAACTCTAATTATTTTTCCAAAATAAAAGTATTGTGAGGAGTAACTACAATATCAGTTTTCTATCAGTGAAAATCCCGTCAAAATCGATCCAGCCATTTCGGAGATTAGCCGGAACAAACAGACAAACAACCAAAAATTATAAAAATTGTTTTAAGTAACATGAATATATCTGAAGTTATTATATTGACATTACAAACGGACACTTCAATTTTATTTATATGTAGGTATAGATTGATTTAAAAATCTTGTAAGTACATTTCTTCTAAAGTGTAAAGTTGGCAGATTCAAGTTAATAATGGAACCAATGTCTTTTCAATAATTTTTGAAAACTTTTTCGTAATATTTCTATAGTTCGTTCCACAACTTACTTACTAGATAATTTTAATACTATAAACTAAATAATTACACCGAAAATTAATTTAGGTACTTTATAACATAAAATATTAATCTCCGGTATTTAAAAAAACCCTTCGAATTACTTAGCGAAATATAGAGTAAAATTTTGCAACGTTATACCCGTTAAAATACATAAAATTACCTAAGCTTTTCATTTTCAATTCACAGACGTACCCGAGCGGAAAATGCGTATCAAAAACAGCATTTTAACATACCAAAGGGAAAATTTTACTTCCTAAATAAATATTGTTTACGTACACTTTCTAACCTGAATTCAAATGGTATAAGATTTCAAGTACGCATCTTCTCGCCAGACATACCTCAAAGCCTGAAAACGAAATTGTACAACCACTGCGTGTTGCCAGTGATGACTAAGAATCTGAGACGTGGTCCTTCACTGCTGGCCGTATGAGGACACTCGAGGTCGCTCAGCGAGCTATGGAGGGGGCTATGCTCGGGATTTCTCTGCGTGATAAACTTAGAAATGAGGATATCCGCAGTAGAACTAGAGTGGCCGACATAGCTCAACGGAATGGTAAGCTGAAGTGGCAATTGGCTGGCCATATAGCTCGAAGAACCGACAATTGGTGGGAAAAAAGGTTCTCGAGTGTCAGCCTCGTACCGGTAGGCGAAGTTTAGGGCGTCCCTCCACTAGATGAAGTGACGAAGTTAATGGATGCAGGTGGCTCAGGACCATGCTTTGTGGCATTCCTTGGAGTAGGACTATGTTCAGCAGTGGACTTGTAATGATGATGAATGATAAAGGTGTTAAGTGTAGAGCGGCCCCCCACTAGATGGAGTGAACACCTGATAACAGATGCGGAAAGTCAATGGGTGCAGGTGGCTCAGGACTGTGCTGTATAGAATTGCTTGAGGGAAGCCTATGAACAGCTGTGGATTACTAGAAGGGCATAATGATGATGATGATGATGATGACATTTTCTAACTAATTACGTCGCTTAATAATCTAGTGCAAAGTAAATCAAAACAACAAAGACACCGTTTTCGGAAATGGCATATTATTCAAGAGTAAATAAATAAGGAATTATCTTTAATACCCCACTTTACCCAATTTCTGCCGTCTTTTAACATTCTATCCTTTCACTTTGTTTATGCTTTTTATCAATTTTCGTGAAGACATGGGCTTTTAATATTTTTTTTAAATAAAATAAGGCTTTTATAGTAAAGATTGAATAAAGTTAGTGCTCCATTTAAATTACTTGCTAAAAGGTTGTTATCGAGGTAATAGGCCTTGCGGTTGCTCTAAGCTTGGTAGGAACGTTTTAAAAGCAGTGAGATCTAATTTGCTACCCGTGAATCTTTTTATTTATACTTTAGCATCTACTTGCAAAGTAAATAACTTAAACATTTCATACAACCGACTTCAATATAAATTATTAAGAATAACTCAAAAACTCAAAAGCATCAGCTGTCAAATAAAAAAAAGAATCATCGAAATCGGACCACCCAAAATTTATCAGGTAACACACAAAAAAAACAACATACAGTCGAATTGAGAACCATCTCCTTTATGAAGTCGATAAATTTCGGCCGTTTTTGGAGACTGTCCACAAAACTGAAAACTTGAAAGTATAAAAAATAGTGTTTTTTTTTTAATTTTCGAATTATTTTTAGAAGAAAACTTATAATTTTGTTGTGTAAATTCAAATCATGAACGTTAGTATAGCTTCCACCGCAGCACGACGTACTTATGGCGACAGATATACAGTTAACATTGGCATGTCGCTGACGCGAACTGTGATTTTACACATCCAAATATCGCCCAACGCAACGCCTCTTATGAAGTTTTCACTCCTAAAAAGTGGTAAAATATAAAAATTTTGTCCAACCGACTTCAATATAAATAAGATGAGTTTATCATTAATGTAGTTGAAGTCAATTAAATACGAATTATTAAGGATAACTAAAAAACTACTCGTCACATCCTGATTAAATTGGACCATACGAAAAGCACCAGCTTTTAAAAAAAAAATCGAATCATCAAAATCGGTGCACCTAGAAATAAGTTCTGAAGTAAGACACATAGAAAAAATACAGCCGAATTGAGTACCTCCTCTTTTTTTAAATTGGTTAAAAAAGAAGTTATTATATACTTCATCAGGGACTGGGCCGAATGAGGTGACTGACGCCTTCAGTTTTATAGTAGGCGAGCAAACTAAATGATGTCGAGAAATACCAGTATTAGAAAGGTTTACGGAAAGAACCACAATGAAAGAACAAATCATGATAACATCCTGTACATCCCAGAAATAAAACTATTTCGAACACAATGTTGGCGGATTCGGAACAACTAAATTTAAATACGACTTAATAATTTCATCATTATCATTGCTGGCGTTCACAAGTGCATTTTTGAACATAAGTCTTGCCCAAGTAATATCACAAAGCACCGTCCTAAGCCACCTGCATCCATTGACCTGCCGCATCTCTCACCAGGTCCTCAATACAGCTAATGGAGGATCGATACCTTAAATAAATATAACCTAATGATTTCTTATATTTACGCGATTTATATATAAATATAACCTGTTAAATAAGATTCTTTTAAAAAAGCAAAACAAATCTAGAATACAGTCCATTAAGTAAGTCGGATAAATTGAATAAATAGGAAATCATTAAAAGGTTACACTGAAAAGAAATGCTAATAAACTGATATAATATGTGATAAGAGAGGCGTGAAACTAGATGTATGTAGACGTACAAAGTGAGCCGAAACTTAAAAATTCAGTTCATTTATTTGTAAACACTAACAGTCATGAAATCTGCCATTCGACTACTGTTGTTAACCACAACACAAGCGTATTTTATAGCTTACCTGGAGTGGTTAGTGAGAATATTCGCAACGTTAATAATCATACATATAAATAAAATTGAAGTGTCTGTCTGTAATATAGAAATACCTGGCTTAGGGGGTGATTTGCATGCTATTAAAACATAAATAACCATTTCAAAATGTTGCCTGTCTGTCTGTCCGGGCTAATCTTTGCAATGGCTAAACCAATTGTGATGAGACTTTACGAACAGATATAGTGCAATACCAGTAAGAATATTTTATCCGAAAAACTAAAACTCGTCTTCATTCGTGATTATCTAAAATTTAAATATAATTTAATAAATAGTCCTATACAGGCGGAAGCTGGTGCGGGTCGCTACTATTATCTATACATCTATAGAAATAAATAAAATTGAAGTGTTTGTTTGTAATGTCATGTTACTAAATGCATATGAAAGTATATACGGTACTAATAACAAAATTACAATTTTTAAAGTTTTGTCTGTCTGTCTGTCTCCGAAACGGCTGAACCGATTTTGATGGGATTTTCACTGGTAGATAGCTCATGTCACATGGAGTAACTTAGGTTACAATTATTTTAGAAAAAGAATTAAGGTTCCGCGCAAAAAAATTAAAACTCCAAATAACACGCTGGCGAAGTCGCGGTGAACAGCTAGTATAAAATAGAAAAGAAATTATATAGCGATGATGATGATAATGATTTGTAAATAGAAAGAATTTTTAACAAAATATATGTTAGTCATATTATTATTGATATACTTAAAGAACCATTTTAATACAACATAAATATCAAGCAACAACAATTCAATTTCAGTGTATGCGGCATCCAACATTTCCAACGTGCCGGCCACCGTCACCTTAATCTGTTCCAAGCGACCTACTTCGTTGTGGTGACGTTTTCAACGGTTGGATACGGAGATTTTGTGCCTGATATTTGGCCATCACAACTCTACATGGTCATCATGATTGGAGTTGCTCTTGTCGTTCTGCCTACGCAAGTAAGTACTTAATATATTACATTCTACGTTTATCTAATTTTGATATGAAGAAATAAAATATATTCATGAACAACAACACAATACGGCGCAATAAATTCAACACAAAAAGAAAACAATATTAATATTGAGCTGCAGCAACTGAACGGTCACCAACTCAGCATAAGCTTACAGCGAAGTTGCCGCAGCACTGTTATTCTGCCGGTACCTTGAACAAAAAAATTCACGAGCAGTTATCAGCCATGCATACATAGTTTCAACTAAGGGCTGAAATAACAAGCTTAATAGTTAAAACACTGATTAAAAAACCGACTGCGAAAAACCTTCCCCTGCCTTTTTTGTATTTGCCGATGCAATATTTCCTGGTCCGCATCTCTCGTCAGAGAGGATTAATAATCCTTGTTCCGCTTACAGTAATTGCTACATAGCCAATGTCACTTCCACAGTTAAGAAGAATCTAACGACACTTGAGCCGTGGTAGCTCAGATGGTTAGCGCTCGCTGTAAGCTTCACAGTACTCGAGCACAGGGTTCGATCCCCGCCGGCACCAATGAAATTGTTAATTGCAATTTTAAGTGCTGATTTACCACGTGCTCGGCGGTGAAGGAAAACATCGTGAGGAAACCTGCATGTCCGAGAAATAAGAAAAAAAAATATTTCGAAGACATGTGAAGTTCGCCAACACGCAATAGGGCAGCGTTGTGGACAATCCCTTGCCCTAAAACCCTCTCAGAAATGAGAGCAGGCCTGTGCCCAGTAGTGGTACGTAAATAGGCCGCAACCTTACTTTAATTTAACGACACTTCATATGTTAAAATTCATCAAGCCGTTTGGGCTATAGAGCGTACCGTACACTCGAAAATCAGTACCATCCTTCTGAGACAGTCGGATAAAAACTAACCTAACAAATAGATAAAGCTAAAAAATAATTTAAAAAACCTATCTCGGAAGTTATCAATGAAGCTAACGCTCGAAAATAGAACTATCTACTCTCATTGTCCTACATCTCACTTTCAAATGCAAAATCCGTATAATTGGACAAACATTATGTCCAGTTAGAAAACAAACTCCGTGTCTGATATGAAAAACTAGTTTTAATTAATAATATGTTTAAAAAGTTATTAATTTACGTCTCCAATCTCCATCCAAATTAAGTCCTAATAAGGAATCAATTACGCTACAAAGCGTCGCGTCGTTCAAAGGCGTTTTCTTAACACAGAATATTAATATCGAATCTAAGAGGAAATTAAACTATAACCATATAAGTCTATACGGATATTTGCTAAAGGAACTCATAAAGTTGTAATATATTAATATTGTAGAAGATTAAGTTTGTGACGCATAAAATCAATTATCTTTGAGGAGTTTTATTTTGAATTCATCTATCACTCCATCACAGCCTATAAATGCCAACTACTGAACATAGGCCTCCCTTTCGATTTCCGCTTAGAGGAGTGGAAAGGTTGCATTGTTGTCAGTCTTGGTAGGTGTGTTGTCAACCGGTTTTTTCAATAATTAAATATAATTCATGGATACAAAATATTGTCACTTGCGCACAAGTGGCAAAGTTTTTCTAATTTTAGGAATCCGTCTGATCTGTAATAGTGCAACTCTTTATGCCATTAAATAAAAGATTACAACAGTACATGGACAGTTGTAATCCGGTTAGAAGTGTTAGAAAGACAGTGTATTTACAGATACCGCTATACATTTCATCTGTACTCTTGACGATTAGTTCATTTCTTGTAATTCTAACGTTTACAATTTAGTATTCTGTAAGGTAAAGCCGTGGTAGCTCAGATAGTTAGCGCTCGCTGTAGGTTTCACAGTACGCGAGCAACCCGGTTTCAATCCCCGCCACCACAAATGTAATTGTTAATTGCAATTTTAAGTGCTGATTTACCTCGCTCGGCGGTGAAGGGTAACATCGTGATGAAATTTGCATGTCTGAGAAATAAAAAAAATATATCTCGAAGACATATGGAGTTTGCCAACACGCATTGGGGCGGCGCGGCGGACATTTCCTTGCCCTAAAACCCTGTGGCGGCGCTGTCGTGGCGCCACAAGCGAAGCACATCAAAGCCTAAATCGCGCTAACAAAGTTCCGAAATTAAAGCAGTATATATAGAATAGCACCGAACCACCAATCGGAGTTAATAGCTCGCGGCTTTTCAGGACGCGAGCCCTGTGTCCCATGAAGCTGTAAGAGCCGCATAGGCTAACATCGTAAACATCACAGAAAATAGGTTATCAATCGGAGCGTTGGCCGCTCCCCGGGCATAACACCTTGCCCGGCGGGAGATATATTCCCTTTTGCTTCCACCCGCCTTAGTGGTGACCCCGACGTGATATGGACACGCAACCAACAACCTTCGGAAACTTCAACTTCAAACCTTCGTCATCGTCCTCAAGTCCCTATTCATTCGCTCCCGAGCAGATATTGTCTGCAGTCATGCAGTCTTCACATTCTGCAAGCCTAGCTTTACAAAGGTTCATCGCAGCACTGGAATAATAATGCTTCCTGTTCCTTCAAGCTACTCTTTGCACTACAGTGCTCGGCACGGCTCTGAGCCTTACTGCTCGCCTCTGCTTCACGGCACTCTCGCAGATCACTTGCCTTCTTCTCGACTCACCGCAGACTTACAAGGCAATTCCCTGGCACTTGCAAATTCGTCGACATCTAGACTGCACTATCAACCTCCGGTCTGAGCAGGGGGGTGATGTGGCGGCGCTGTCGTGGCGCCACAAGCGAAACACATCGAAGCCTAAATCGCGCTAACAAAGTCCGAAATTAAAGCAGTATATATAGAATAGCTCCGAACTACCAATCGGAACGTTGGCCGCTCCCCGGGCAGAACACCTTGCCCGGCGGGAGATCTCCCCATTTCATTCCACCCGCCTCAATGCCACAGTGCTACAGTGCCAGGCGCCACAACCCTCTCAGAAATGAGAGGAGGCCTGTGTCCAGCAGTGGGACGTATATAGGCTGTAACTTTACTTTACTTTACTAAAGTAAAAGTAAAGTTTTAGAGTGTACAACGTGTAACAAAAACCCTGTGGTTCCCGTTAAGTGCGTTATCAGAGTTTGAATACAAACGTAAAGAAATAACATTTTTTCAAAAAATTTTAATATTAAAAAAAATATATTTTAATTTTAAAATAATAATTTGCGAATCGCATGTGGTTTCATTACCTCTGCATTATCCGTAGAATAAGGGGATTGTGAAAGACTCCCTCTTCACTGATGCTTGTGTCAGTTCGAGGTAATAAAACCGCATACAATTTGGAAATATTTTTTTTTAAATTTATTTTTTAAAGTTTCTAATTTTTTGAAAATAAGTTATTCCTTTACGTTTGAATACTGACTCTGAGAACGTACTTAAAGGGAACCACAGGGTTTTTGTTACGCGTTGTATATGTCTCCCCGTTTGGACATAGACCTCCTCTCATTACTGAAAGGATTTTAGGGCAAGAAAATGTGAGCGCGCTGCTTGCTGTCTTAGTTTTTGAAGAGAAAACTTCTCTAAAATCGCTGTGATTTGAAACTCAATGAAATTAAAAACTTCGACATTCTCCTTCACCGCCGAATACGTGAACTCAAAATCGCAATGAGTATATTATATTATATATTATATCATTGCTGTCGACGGATAACGAACCCGGAATGATTGTGTACTGTGAAATTAACGGCAAGCGCAATAAATACGCATAAATATATGAAAAATATACATATATATTACAAATATATATCAAGTAAATATATATTAGATATACACTTCTAATTATATAACTTATATTTTTTTATAGAATAAGGGTGACAAACGGGCACACTTGCTGGTAAGTGGATGCTGTGGCCCATAGACATCTACATTTATCCTCGATTAAGAATCAAAATGCAGATGCGTTATCAACCCTGAGGGCTAGGATAAGGAATGCCTCGTTTCCAGTAAAAAGGGTCTCCGGTTCTCTACACTCACCATATGAAACAAAACAGCATTAAGCTGCTATTTTCTAGTATTCTGTGAGAGCGTTGTCTTTCCCCGGTCGGGCCGACCCATTCGTACTACAACCGTAATACGAGGTCTCGTATAGCTGCAGCATATTACTTAAATACATACAATATTACAAATTATTATTTATTGTATGTATTTACCTAAACCGATTACCCGTTTGTTTAGAAGTAATTATTAGAAGAGTGTAAAAATGAGTTGGCGGGTGACTCGAACTTTAGGCCTAGTCAGTTTGAATAGCCTATCATGGTAGAGGATGTCATTGGGGTCATGGTTGAATAGGGCCAAAATGTTCTTATTACACTCCTAGGGGGTCAAACTGGCCAAAAACCAAAAATTCTTATTTCGGCTGTTACTCCGCCTCCTTCGGAGGTTCTTGCACAGTCTTTACTTCCCACATCCCACTTGATAAAACTTTTAAAAGGCTTACTTTGTGACTCACATATTATGTACCATACAGTGTTAATTAATATCTGTTAGTTTTCCTGATATAAATATATAAATATCTACTGATTCATAGTTCGAGCAACTCGCTTTTACCTGGATGGAGAGGCAGAAGTTGGGCGGATCGTATTCTTCCCATCGAGCTCAGTCTGAGAAGCACGTGGTGGTTTGCTCTACAACCCTACACGCGGATACGATCATGGATTTTCTTAATGAGTTTTACGCTCATCCACTGCTTCAAGATTATTACGTGGTGCTGCTGTCGCCGATGGAACTTGACACCACTATGCGTATGATACTTCAAGTAAGTAATGAGAAAAATTTCTGGAACCTAACAACTTCCTATCCACATCTAGCACATCTAGTTGAAAAGCTGTTAAATTTATTTATAATCATCATCAGCGTGCAGCAGTTCACTTCAATACATAGACGTTTCTCATTCAGCCTAGTCTATACCTTCAGTTATACGGTTGCTACTGCAATTAGCAGTTCATAGTTAGAACTATGTCACAGGATTTCGATGAAATCTGGATTTTTTTCTGAATTCAATGGCTTAAAATCCAGATTTTCGATCAAAATCCTGGATCTTCTCGGGATCATGATGAAATGGAGTCTCTATTTTGTCAATCGAAATACTGGTTCTATCAATATGCTGTGATATAAATAGTATAGCAATATGCTTTATCTTTTTCAGGTGCCGATCTGGGCTCAACGCGTTATTTACATTCAAGGTTCGTGCTTAAAAGACACGGACCTTATTCGCGCCAGAATGAACGAGGCTGAGGCTTGCTTTGTACTAGCGGCTCGGAACTACGCAGACAAAACGGCTGCCGACGAGCACACTATACTAAGGCAAGCATTTACCTATAAAGTATGTAACACGTTGAAACTTAACATATGCATTTAGAGAGGTGAAATGATTAAATGTCAAGAAACTAACATTATTGTATTACTTATTGTTAGCCAATGCTAGACTACGATTACACATGTTGGTAATTGGTGATAAATGGTCCTATGTGGTTTTTACGTAGCAAAAACCGATTCAATAATTCCTTGAAGACACCCAAGCATCTTTTAGATTGTCGTGTCATATCCCTTGCATGACACGACAGTCAAAAAAAAAGTTTTCAAATGAAGTTGTTTGTTTTGTCTTTCGTAGGGTTTAGGTTTTAAGGTTTCCATCCGATTTCTACCTGACGGTAATTGGACGCATTGGCCCATAGACATCTAAATCTATCATTGATAAATAATCAAAATTCAAATGCGTTGTCATCCCTGAGGACTAAGATGAAATGCCTCGGTTCCAGTAAAAATAGTCTCCAGGTCTCTACACTCACCATACGAAACACAGCAGATTTAAACTGCTATATTACGCAGAATATTTTGTGAGAGCGTAGTCCTGTGGCCTTGTCGAGCCGACCCATTCGTGCTACAACTAATATAGCTGCAACGGGACTCTACCACGTTCATTAAAAAATTCTAGAAAATTCTACTCGATGGAATTCAATTTTTTGAATTGGTAATCTATATATATATCAATTCGATATACATCATCAAGATTAGTAAATTGGAAACAAATTTTGATAACACAACTACACTTTCTTACTCGTCCTTTCGTCATCAGTTCCATTATCATAACAGCGGCCCTTGTTGAACTTAGAACTTTCCCAAGAATTGTCTCAAACACGCTCCTGAGCCGCCATCGTCACTTCATCCACTGAGTACCACCCTACACTCAGTTCACCAGTACAAGGCTGGTACTTGAGAACTATATTTCTTCATCCATTGTTGGTTCTTCAGTATTATTTCAGCTTCTATATTTCAGCTATTTGCCACTTCTTTTAATTAAAAATTATTTTAATTAAAATATTTCTAATTAAAATAAAACCCATACTAGGATTTACACCTGTATCATGGAGGATGTTTATAGACATAAATTGCACAATGATAAACATCCAGAACCGGAAAAATAGTTTGCTGATCATAAAAAAATTGTTCCGTGTGGGATTCGAACTCATGGCTCTAGATACTGCAATTCGTTGCTAAGCCACTGCGCCACGGAGCCTTTAACGGACTCTCACGTCACCAGCTCACCACGGATCAGTTTTTTTTTTATAGAACAGGGGGCAAACGAGCATGCGGCTCACCTAATGGTAAGTGACTACCGCCGCCCATGAACAACCGCAACACCAGGGGAATAGCAGATGCGTTGCCGGCCTTTTAAAAAGGAGTAGGCTCTTTTCTTGAAGGTTTCTAAGTCGTATCGATCCGGAAAAATCGCTGGTGGTAATCGATTTCACAAGGAAGTTGTGCGAGGAAGAAAACATCTTCTAAATCAATTTCTAAACCAGTGGTGGACCGCCAATCATCCAGGTGGTGGTAGGCTTAGGCTACGTCAGTAACACTCTTTCTACTACAAATATTTTACTACCTATCCTTTTCTAAAGGAAACTTCGAGCATCTTTTTCTTCATTTCTATTAAAGGTGAAATTGGAAAAGGTGTGATTTAAAATAAAATGTATAAACAATTAAAAAATTAAAAGACAATTAACGTACCGCAAATGCGTAAGCGTTCTGGAACATTCGTTTGGGACGAAGTTCCTTTCGTAGTATTTTTTTAATTACTAGTAATGCTATTAAACATTATTAATATTCCCTTAAGCCACTTCTGGTAAGTTTAAAATGCTTGTGTAAGAAGTGGTCCACGACAGTAGTCGAATGGCGGATTCGAACCCACGACCTTTCGAGTTCGCGGTCCGCGCCCTGCCATTAGGCTACTGATGCTTCTAATATATTATTATTGATAAACGTATTATATTACTGATTAACAAATACAAATAAATAAATTACTAGCGTCTATTAATAATGAAGCGTCATTTAAAATAAAATAATATTTCTTTCATGGCAACATAAGAAAAAGTGCGAGGGTGATGGATATTATTCTATCTCGCTTCCTTATAGCCGCCAAAGCCGTCTACACTACGTCTGAAGGGGGTCATGACGGAAAAATCTTACAAATTTGCTCACCCAGCCCCCATCCGCCAAATTCGTACCGTCCGATAAAGAACTTCGTTCCGTAAATAGTCTAACACATAAAATCCACAAACAACGTGACTGACTTCTCTTATTCTAACATTCAGTATTCTCGTTCACGTTCACAGGTCGTGGGCTGTCAAGGATTTCGCACCAGACGTTCCTCAATACGTCCAAATATTCAGACCGGAGAACAAGCTACACGTGAAGTTTGCCGAGTTCGTTGTGTGTGAAGACGAATTCAAGTATGCATTGCTGGCCAACAATTGCACCTGTCCCGGAGCCTCCACACTTGTTACGTTGCTGCTGCATACCAGCCGCGGACAGTACGTATAAAATTAAGTGTGTTAGCGCTGTAAGAACATTCATTACCCCATTTCATGGTGTTGTTCAGAGGCTTTCGATAGATAGGCTTACAGCCATCTTTTTTACGCCAGGCGATGGGCAGCAACATCAAAGGTACAAGACATCGCACACGATCGTCAATACGCCGACCAATCCTCCCCACGACAGGAGAGACTAACAATTTTAAAACAAACGCCTATAAATAACTGTGGAATTCATTCAATAATAATTGTAACCTATAACCTAAGCTCTAGTTAAGGTAGTGGCATATTTATATACATACAACCACACCCACCCACTCACTCACTTAAACACACACACACACACACACACACACACACACACTCACGCGCGCACACGCGCGCACACACACACACACACACACACACACACACACACACACACACACACAACACACACGCACACACACACACACACACTCACGCACACACACACGCACACACACACACTTTGTTGAAGTGACTTGTTATGGAAGAGCAGAATCTCCTAACACTTCTTTCTTAAAATCTTTTTTACTTAAAAGGAGATTCTGGACACGGTTAAAACTGTACGAATTATGTTACTGAAATAAAGTTTATTTTATTTATTTATTTATTTATTATAACGAAGAGAATTTCTCTATTAGTACTTGAATATTTTTTATTTTCACTTTCAGATGACATATTAAAATTTATCAGTTTTGTTATAATATGGCATTTTTACTCAGCCCGTACAAATGGATATATTCTTCCACACACACACAGCAAGTATACAATTCTGTCGTCCAGAATCACTAAGCTTCTTCGGTGAGGTCCTTAATAATTGCAGATGTCGTAGCTCGATTGCTCATAACGTTTCCCGAAGTATGGTTCACTTTCGCGTTCCCGAAGTAATTAATTCTGAAATACTCAATAAGAGGAATGTAATAAACACAAAGACCTAGGCTAATCCAAGTCATTTCACTCTCTTTAAGCCGAAAGGTACTAGAGCACTCACGATTACATAGCGATAATAATATGTCCAAAGGAGTAAAGTCTTCAAGTAGTTAGAACGTTATCTATTTTCATGCCTACACATTTTATTTGACAAAGGCCCTAGCACCGAGGAAGTTCTTGTGCAATGTGATGCAATAAGCAACTGGCTGTCGTAACCAATATATCACTTCCATTAAATCTGTTTATTGTTACTTCTTACAATATATCACTTCCATTAAATCTGTTTATTGTTACTTCTTACCTTTTGTCTTTATCAGGACCAGATTTATGACCTTATACTCTATTGCTAATATAAGAAATAATTACGATGACAATGTAAAATAAAATTGTATTACAAATACAGAGAAGGACAACAATCGCCAGAAGAATGGCACCGGCTTTACGGCAAATGCTCTGGAAACGAGATCTACCACATTGTTCTGGGAGACAGTCGATTCTTTGGAGAATACGAGGGCAAAAGCTTCACTTATGCTAGTTTCCATTCACACAGAAAGTAAGTAATTTTACTGTGAGTCAATTTCATTTTTACAAATCCTAGAAAGTGGAATCCCATTTTACCGGTTTTGTCTTTTTAAGGTATGGCGTGGCTTTGGTTGGAGTGCGGCCTGCCGAGTTACCTGAATTTTATGAGGACACTATTCTTTTGAATCCCGGCCCGCGACACATAATGAAAAGCAGTGACACCTGCTATTACATGAGCATCACTAAAGAGGAGAACTCGGCCTTTGTCGTTTCCGATAAACAAACCGATAACAAGCCGAATTTACCAAAAGACCAAACCGCGTGTAGTCTTCTATCTAATGAGAAGAAATTCGGGGATCCTGAAGAAGGCACTAGCCAGCAGAGGAGACCAGACGGTATTAATGTGCCTCAGTATGAACTCCCCCAAGTGATTCTTCAGGCTCCCATTAATTCAACACCAATTGCATCGCCATCCCGCATCAATCAAGCTAAAACCGCATCATCCGCTAATTTTACTCTTGCTGGCTGTGAGTGTCACAGTTAGATTATCACTTGTGGACCATGCACGTTCGAATATTTTAAATCGAACTTGCATTTTGGTCCACTAATTGTTACATTGTACATGCTCAAGTTGATCCGTGTATTACGTTGAATTGACTTTTTGAAAGTAGATGAAGTAACTGTTTTAAAAAGCGAAGTCGAACTTACTGGTAAAGATAATTTAAAGATTATCCTTGAACACAATCAAAATTATCAAAAACACATTTATGATTAACCTAAATTTGACTATGTATTATATAATTTTCCTGGAGGAACTGTGTTCTTGGAAATAGTAATATGCTGTTTATATAATAAATTACAAATATCACGATTTTGCACTGCAGAGCTTCGGTCGTCCCTGACAAGTCGCGAGTAAGCATTTATTGAACTAAGACATATTATCAGTTTGATCTCATTAAATTATTAAGTGCCATTTGTAAACATTAAATTTGATCAACAAATTACTTGCATGCTGTATTTAATTAAATGATGGTTCAACTTTTTTCGTAGATCGTGATTTAACATTGAAATCATATTTTAATCACTCGGCACATCGTTTAAGGTAACATATTATCTGCTACCATCTGCCATCGGTTGGCTTATAACTTTGCGCCTAGTGATATCAGCCACCCCATTGTTATTTGTATGTGCAATCAATTTGAATTTTAATATAGGTAGTGCTTTATTGAGATATTTGCATATTTTCTTTCGTAAAATAGTGCTAAAAATTAAAATTTTATCTGTTGATATTTCATACACCTTGTTCGTCATCTCCCAAAAGGCAAAGTATTCATTATAAAATGATTGAATGAATGATTTGAATGATATTCAAATACGATAATAACTTCTTAATACAACCAAAACCTATGAACTGAACAAAATATATCAAAAGCGCAAGTCAAAACCACTTCATTGTCTTAATATTAAAGTTCATGCGATAACATCTGAGTAAAATTCATACGTAATAACTGTGCCACAAAAACCCATCTAATAACGCTGTTAACCAATAATAACTTATGTTTACAATCCACAAAAATAGAAAATTGAAACTCATCTAAGTAAACTATTGAAAATTGTAAACTAATAAAGAAAAGGTAATTTGATAAATTATTGCTAGGAAGCACAAAATGTTTTGTCTCGGAGTTTGTCTCTTACCAATTTCTGTTGTATAAGAACATTGCGTCCACTATTATATTATATTCATTTTGAATGGTTTATAGTTTACAATTTGCCATCAGTTAAACTTCTATTACTATTAAGCTCGTTAGTTACTATGTTGTTATAAAAAATACTTTCAAAAATCTAATAAATTGTTTGTTACTTTTCAGCTAAATACGGTGAGGGTACTTCCACTTCTGAATCTCGTAGTTGCTTGAAGGAATCTCCAGCTACTGATAGCGCAAGCGACAGTCATCTACTTCTTCCGCGACCTGATAATAGTAACTTTTTGAGCCCTGATTCTCTGAACTATCGTAGAGGTACTGCAACTTGTCTTTTTTATATTTACGTTTTTGCAACGTTTTTGGTGTTATAAATTAAAATCAATAATGACGTCAAAAGTTACTTAACCTATTTAAAACACCATTGTTGAAATTGGGCATAAATAAAAAATATTCATATATTACGCATAAAACAATATAATTTAAGTTTGTTTACTTCAATCAGTATTGATAGCAGTCTGCTATATCCAGAAAACGTGAACAAACAAATATCATAAATATTTTAATATGGTAGAGTCATGCTGCAGCTATATTATTAGTATAGTTGTAGCAGTTGGGTCGGTGTGGTAAGAACCGGAAACCATTTTTACTGAAAAAGAGGCATCCTATCTTAGTCTTCACGGATGACAACGCATCTGCATTCTGATTTTTTTTTATAGGAGACGACAAACGAGCATGCGGCTCACCCGATGGTAACTGACTACCGCCGCCCATGAACAACTGCAACACCAGGGGAATTGCAGATGCGTTGCCGGCCTTTTAAAAAGGAGTAGGCTCTTTTCTTGAAGGTCCCTAAGTTTAGATTCTTTATCGAGGATAGATACAGATGTCTATGGGTCACAGCACTCGCTTACCATTAGGTAGACCGTGTGCTCGTTTGTTACCCTATCCTATAAAAATAATCTCTAGACACTATGATTATTTTACATCGCCTTGTGGGTAGATCCATCATCTGCAACTTAAGAAAATACCTAGATTGTCTTCGATAAATGAGCGACATCACAACTCGGTAAAAATAAACGGCGTCAAAGTGCAAGACGCCAGAAATTTCGATTGTCGTTCCATCTATTGTTTGGCTTGGCGATTATAATATATTATCGCTTCTGCAAGAGAGACTCAAATCGAGCAAGGATTATTTTAAACTGTTTAAGAATATTATTTGATTAAATTAAAAATTCATGTAAATTCTTAAATAAAAATACGTGCAAATGAAAGCGAACAGATCGTCAAACAATTAAAAATTAGACATGGATGCAGGTAGTCGGAGACCATCTATTTTACCGGTGCCTGATATGGTGACGTCAAGTTTGAACATAGCATCTGATAATCAAGATGAAGAACCTGAAGTTGATGAAAGCGAAGATGAACTCGAGGACGACGTACCGTGGCGTTCACCGTCAGAAAAAATTGCGTAAGATTCTCTCATCGCACTCCAAACCGATGGCTCTCATGCACGCACATTATTATAATTACTTTCACATTCCACTTTTCCTTTAGTTTATTATTTTTATATTTCTTTTAGATAAGAAATAGTTATCCGATTAATAAATACGCAGCGCGTATTGTTTTTGTAAAGGTGATTTGATTATATTCTTTTTCTTTTTCATATAAATTCAAACAATTTATTGTCAGGATATCCACAAAGTTCACATTTCACAAATTAAATTATTTTCTTTATATTTTGCTTATTTATGTTTTCAGTCTCAGACCAACTAAAAAAGAAAGACGGAGCGCAACGTACATTTAATTTAAAAATAAGCCAAAACCTTCATCAACTTATTGTAAAAACACGAACTCATGTACACATATGCATTCGCAACCAACAACATGGTTTTATGTGCACGTGTATGCGTTCGGCAATAAATTTTTGCGGGCTATTAAAGGAATACAAAAGATTTTTTTGAGAATGCGTGTCATTAGTTGTCAAAGTTAAGTTGTTGAAATGTACATATCGCTCCGTCTTTCTTAGCTGATCTGAGGTTTCAGCATGTCGATATAGATCACATAATGTAAAAAAGTGAAGGTTAATTTTCAGTTTTTTTTAAGCAATGTGATCGATATACGACATTAGTTTTTTCTCTTGTTGTTTTAGCGTGTACATTCATAGATAATCGTCCACGTCGGCTGCATGTACTGAACACCATACGTACGTCATTTTATTTCTTCTTATTTTATGCAATTTGGCGAGGGAAGAAATGATCTATGATTTTAAAGCCTTTAATATTTTAGAGTATATGTACTTTATCTCAATTTTTACTTGAATTACTTTCTTTTGCTCGCCAACTAGCCCTAATGTATCTTCCATGTTTGCTTGTGTGTCCATAGCCTCCTGAGCTTTTCCATAACAGCAATAGCTAGATCCCTAGTCCATATAATGTTTTGGGAGCTGATGTAAATTGTCATTTATAATATTGGTTATCTGATGCAAATCTAATTTAAAATCTGTTGTTTCTACCGTGAGAAAATTTTCTACTTATAAATAAATAAATAAAATGGTTAAATTTATGAGCATACCTTGAATCATCACCTCCCTTTGCTTAGTTTGTATTTTATATAATATAACAATACAGCTTCGAGATAAATTTGGAATACTAATTACTCTTTCATTATGTCAATACGATAATTGACGTTTATGTATATTATATAAAAATAAATATATATATATAAGTATATATACATAATTGCTGAATCCCAACTAGAACTAGTGTGCACTGTACATGTAATACAGAATGTACAGAGAGTGCGTTTGCGACTGTGTGCATTGTGTGTCGTACACTATCGAGCGTATGTCCCAACCGGGCGCGCCGTTCCTCTGCCGCAGCGATGACCACAGCAGCAGCTTCTCGTCGATGGGGGGCAGCGACGTGCGCAGTGCCTGGCGCACCGACTTCTCGAGGTGAGACCACCACCACCGGCTGACGGCAACTGCCTCTGTCGAACGCTCTTAGCCTGACCAACAAATAACAAAATCAACCGATGATGGAACACAAAACAAATTTCCATTGTTTATCTTACAAATATATATTTATGCTCTCTGGTTATTTTTAACGTATAATTGGAGGCCCCGCTATGTTAGTGTGTTTCCTTTGCACTTGACCCTTCTATAATAGTGAAGCATGAACATCTCCAAGATTTGATGTTGGATGTTAGAGTAATGAGCACTAATTATCCACTCTATTACGTGTATCTATTTTAATAGTTCCCTTAAGAATACCCAAATGGACTTCATATTTTAATGTTTCTCATTGGGACTTACAGAGAATAAGTATTTTAAACTCGTAAGTATCTTTAACAAAAATTCTTACAACCTTTTTTATACATATTAATTTTTTAAATTAAGCTTTGCTTATGCATTATAATGTTTTCTTAAAATTTTGTAAATCTGGATAGGATTCTAATTTAATTTCTTTTCATTTCATAGGATTGTGAAAGGTTTTCCACCGGTGTCGCCGTTCATCGGCGTAAGTCCTACTCTGTGTTATTTACTGAAAGAGAAGAAGCCTTTATGCTGTCTGCAACTGGCACAAGTCTGTGAGCATTGTGCCTATCGTAACGCCAAGGAATATCAATGGCAAAACAAAACAATCATCCTCGCTGCGGACTACGCGTCTAATGGAATCTATAACTTCATTATTCCGTTACGGGCGCACTTTAGGTCAAAGACTTCTCTGAACCCAATAATACTGCTATTAGAACGTCGTCCCGATATAGCATTTTTGGATGCAATTTCCTATTTTCCCCTTGTTTACTGGATGCTCGGTACCATTGACTGGTAAGGGAAAATTCATAAAGTACACAAACACAAATGTTAATGAATTTTCCTGGTTTCACATAACTGTTTTTTTTTCAGTTTGGATGATCTGCTGCGAGCTGGAATAACTCTAGCTGAGAACGTAGTGGTTGTGAATAAAGAATTATCTAACTCAGCCGAGGAAGACAGCCTTGCCGATTGCAACACTATAGTTGCTGTTCAAACGATGTTCAAGTAAAATTTGCTTTATAATTCAATTTAGTATGGTATGATAAGTCTGCAATTGCGAACTATGTTCTTAATGCTCGCGAACTTTAAAAAAGCAAACGCGTTGCTAACGCTATTATGTATCTTCGTAGTGTTATTTAATATTCGATGACGCAAGCGTTTGTTTTGTTTAATAAACTTTGAAAAGACACAACGTAATTATATGTGTAAGAGATTGTTTTTCTTACAGATTCTTCCCATCAATTAAATCGATTACGGAACTATCCCAATCGTCAAATATGCGCTTCATGCAATTTAGAGCGCATGATAAATATGCTTTGCATTTATCTAAAATGGAAAAGGTGATATTAATGTAACTGATTCGAACATTTTGTTGTTTATCCGTGGATATATACCTAATTAGTCGTGTTAATATTTGACAGCGTGAAAAGGAACGCGGTTCACATATCTCATACATGTTCCGATTGCCATTTGCGGCAGGTTCCGTATTTTCCGCCTCCATGCTCGACACGTTGCTGTACCAAGCCTTTGTCAAAGATTATGTCATTACTTTTGTGAGGCTGCTACTAGGCGTTGACCAAGCCCCTGGTTCGGGATTTCTCACCTCGGTAAGTTAAGACGCGTTTATATACTGTGCCTAACTTTAACGCGAAACGCTGGCGTTTTCTGCGAAGACATCACCTCACCGTCATTTCATTGATCACAATAATGCTCTGCGAATACATATATATTAAGCGAAAATAACTGTGACGAAAATTATCAATTTATTGTAATTCTTTTTATATCACCCTGACAAATTAACCCTTGGACTTGTGACAGATGAAAATATCAAAAGAAGACATGTGGATCCGTACATACGGGCGACTGTACCAAAAGTTGTGTTCCACCACTTGTGAAATCCCGATCGGTATCTATCGTACCCAGGATACAAGCCTGGCCGACCCCGCGCACCACGTGAGTATGTCGCCAGGGGCTCCGTCAAAGTGGTTTTGGTCACGCTTCGCGAGAATGCGACCATCGCGCGCATCGGTGAGTCGGACTCTTACTAAAGCAATATATTCCTCAAATACAGTCCTTCGCCGCCGTCTACCAATCGCAGTTATTGAAACATCTCACATAATTTTACAATAATGAGTTTATTCCAAATTATTTATTCTGATCACGTATCCGTTCTTTGAGTAGTCCCGAGTCTTTGGACTGTATTTCGGGTTAATCTTTAATATTATATCTTTTTGTATTCTTCTGGTGTCAATTTCACACTCTTTCATTATTGTAAACTGTCTACATGTACATCTCGAGCCTAACACTTGTGGTGTGACTGTAATTAGTTCTGGCATCTATACGACTTTCTATATCTTACACATTACCTGGTTTTCTTTTTTAAGGTACACGTGCTTTATTTTCTATTATTTCATCGCAATCTGCTATAGCCAAAATAATTATATTTCTTGCTTCTGCGTGAACACTTTTAATTAAAATCTACTTAAAAAATACTTTCAAGCAGGATTATATTTATCCCGCCCGAATACAAATAACAATAACGTATTTCGCTAAACTATACTAAATTCCGAAGAAACCAATGATTTAAAATTATCTTTCGAAAGCATCTCGATGATCGCAATCCCGCTTATCTTAACTCTTTCTAGTGCATGCATGTTCTGTTATAGAAGACTAGATATTTATACAAACGTTCTTAAACTATAGTAGCCAAATAAATAGTATAGCAGGTCGATAGGTTTCATCTTAAAGCTAAACTCAGTTTTGAAGAAAAAAATTCATACTACAGAAACGGTGAAATCATTAAGACTAGTATTTTGCAAAATGCTTTTGCTTATAGCATGCTCAACATAATTATGAATAATATATTGATGAAAATCCAACGTCAATATTAAACAGTTAACAGAATTATAGCTAAAATCAATGAATTATTTCAAAACGCATGGAAATGCAACATAGTTGGTTGGTAGCTTTGCTATTGAATGAGGAATAGGGCCCATCCGTTCGTGGTTGAGTGGTGGTATGACTCACCAGTTGCAGCAGGAGGCGGGGGAAGGCGGTGGTGGTGCGGCAGGGCGCGGGGAGCCGACCGGTTGCCTCGGTGGTTGCCACGGCGAGCGCACGCCAGCGGTAAGCAACCAAGCGAGGAGCCTGACTGTTGCTTCACCAGAACAGTTTAAAATTCTTATTTTAAATAGCCCTATAAACCTTACAATTTCTAATTATTCTGTGTAGTACTCATCCCACTCTTACGTGTTTGCAATAGCAATTTACATAAAATAGCGGATAGAGACGAAGAGAATGGTTAAGCTACTAAAATCAAGACAATAATAAAACTTTGTTGCATTAATATGAATATTTAACTTACGTAAGCTTAAAATGTCAAAAGAAAAATGCGAAGGAAGCTAAATGTAAATATTTGACGATAGAAACGCAAAGGTAAAGTTAATTTTTATTGTAAAATAAATGCTAAAATTAAAAGAATGCAGAACCATAAATTGAAGCGAAATGCATCAATATGCTTCCCTTAGCAAATATTATCCTATAGACCACGCCTTAGCGGTATACCTTCTACTTCTCACATACTTCTAGTACTAGACCTAGAATTTAGCTGTTTCAACTAAGGACTATTTGCAATCACAACAGTTTCTTGGGACTGACTTTGTTTATATTATGTGAATTATTATTTAGGGACTACGATAACCAGAACTAAGTTATGAGAATGAGTATTAATAAATTTATGTAGTAATATATTTTTATTATATACATCGTATTCCTTAAATATTTTGACCAGTCAGATACACAATCATTTTTCAATTTAAATCATCATATTATGCATGGCAAAATAATTGTTAATACTTCTAACTTTAGATACAACATTAATGATGACCCTATTAAGGCGATACCCCGGCCAAAACCTTGCGATAGTGTGTTTTTCAGAGACTATTATCTCATTAGTTATGAGAAATAAACTACATTTAAAAGCACATTATTAATGTTCGATATTCAATAATCACATTCCACGTTCTAATTTGTTTTTATGTGTTATAAATACATTTAAAATCTACTTTTAAAAAATGACTAAAATTATCGATTACATGCATCTGTTGCTAAAGGCAACGCTCTGACCATTTGAGGATTACACTAATGGATAGATAATTTAAAAATCTATATTATTCACGTTTTATTTAATTTTTAAAGTTCGTTTTTCTTTTGTAATTAAAATAATTCCAAAAATTGTGTGAATTCTATGATAAACCGGCGTACGTCTAAAGAGGGAACGAATGCTTAAGGTTATTTGGTCAGGGAAACGCCTTAATAATGCACTAATCTCTAGAGTTTGTTAAATCCTTCACATAAAATTGTTGATAACTTCATTAGGTAGCGTACTGATTACAATTAAATTCTATAAAAATTTACAGTATTCTACAAGCTTGGCGGATGAAGCCAGAGACAATCATGTACAACAAATCGAAAGAGCCGAAATCGCCAATCTTGTTCGCTCAAGAATGGAGTCTCTGAATCTCACTGGTGTTGATTACGATGACGTAAGCGAAAAAAGAAACAGCCTATCCTATGTTATCATAAATCCGAGCTGCGACTTAAACTTGCAAGAGGGAGATATAATGTAAGATTTCTTGAAAAAATCTAATTCGGTGATTGTAAAAATTTGCATAATCAATCAATGTTAAATAATTTTCAGATACCTGGTTCGTCCGTCTCCATTTTCTGCTCAAAAGACGTTTGAAAGGCACAACAGTCGCCGTAAATCTAACATTAGCTTCTGTTCTCAAGCCATAATTCAAGCACAAGGCGTTGCCAGTCGTCGTGGCTCCGTTATCGGCTCAAGTTACAACCAGCCGCGAGCACCGCCCCTTTCCACAACTAAAGCTAATTCACTGTCCTTGCCTGACAGCCCCACTATTTTAACTGATTTCCGTGGCCGCTCAAACTCGCTGCGTGTTGTCGACGATATTCTGCTGCGTCGATCAAATTCGCTTCGTCAAGGACTGAGTGGCGTAGGACGGCGCAGGAAGAGTAGCCTTGAGGAGATCGGCATATCGCATTTCAATTCTTTGCTTCAACATCAGCAACAACAGCAGCAACAAAATGCAGCAGCCATTAAAATAGCATTAAACGGCAGCATTGGGTTAGAGGTTACTCCACCAGATGAGTGTCCCAGAGACCACATGTTTTGCGGAAGCTCAAACGCTGGAATTGCTCTAGGGGCATACCAAGATATGGCAGCTGCACTCCCATCAACATCCATGACTCCCTCGCTGCCACCGCCATCTCCAGATACTCAACACTTACAGGGAACCATAGTATGATACCATCTGATGTGGGGACGTCGTTCCGTTGTACGAAACAAGTGGACCTAGAGCTTTGACAAAGGACTTGCACAATTATTAAAAATATAATAATCATAATAATCACAAAATTTTCTTCTATAAGTTCTTCCTCTGTCCTGACTAGGTTCATCTTCGGAGCGGAATTTCATATCGTAGCGTCTCTACCTTGCACGTGTTATTTATTTTAAATTTGTAAAAAATCTGATAATATTTTCAATTTCAAATGATGTGGATTGGTACCGATGAGCTGATTGTAAGTGGGATCAACTAGTTATTATGTAAAGGGGCTTACAAAAGGCATAAGTCAACGTGTACATAGAGGGCTTTCTTCTGTCTTAATGAGTTAAAACTGTATATACTCGTAACATTAACTTAAAAGCTATAACTTTAATTCGTACTTAATGTATGTGTATATAAATTCTCTACTACTAGCAAAATTATATTATCAATTAAGTAGCAAATCGAATCCCTTTATTAGATTTAAATGTGCAATTATATTATTGTATCAATTAAAACTCAAAATGTATTCCGTGTTTGAAACTACATATTACGTATTATTAAATGTCATTAGATTTGTTGACCGTACAATTTTAATTCTCATAGCATCAGAATCAGTCGTCGTAATAAAGTTCGTGTAGTTACGAAATTGATGTTTTATTTATCATCCTAATCTTTATATAATAACTAGCTGGTATAAAAATATTGATTCGTAATTAAAAAATATTGAGTGTCACTTATCAGGATCAGAACTATCCTATCTCTCAAGTTGGACCAAACTACACAGAGTGTGCAAAATTTCATTGAAATCATTTCAGTAAGTTTAGGAGTTCATCGCGGACAAACAATGTGACACGTAATTTTTATATATAAAGATATTATGGAAGGAAGCTTTTATCTATTGAAGATGTGTTGTCACCTCTGAACACTAAGATGGAAGGTCTCGTAACCTGTAATCGTACTGACTGAAACAGACCGACACACATCAGTAAAAGGATTACTATTTTACGGTTAAAAACAAAATCTTTTATTAATTATTTATTTTCACCTATAATTTCCTTAACGACTTAATTCTTTACCATTTTTCTTGCTTCAAATAAATAGTCCACTGTTAGACATGGACGTGTTCCTTGAGAAGCTGAATTATGAAATACAACAATAACATTTTCCATTATGAACGCTGCTATCCGTCACCGTTTACAGCTTCTACGTATTGTTTATTTTCCTTTCCTTCAGAACCCATATTGAAGTCTGTTGTCACTCTTGAGGATTAAGATGAAATGCCTTATTTGCAGTAATAAGGTATCTAGTCTCTACACTCACCTTACGAAATACAGCAGTATAAAGCTGCTATTTTACGTTGGTATCCTGTGAGAACGTGAACCGGGACACGATTGAGCCGACCCATTCTTGCTACAAACATTAAAACTGTAGCGTGGCTCCACTACTTATTGCCGTCGTTCATTGACCTCTCCCGGTGATGGGAGAATTTGTTTTAATTATCACGGTTTGCAGACGGATTGACGATCGTAGCAGCAGTCATCTTCTGCCCTTTGCCGGTCTGGATATTTTAGGTCTGCAAGATGGTACACCGCCATCTATCGAAAGACCATAAGGTCTTTCTCGCGTTTCTCATAGTCATCTCTTACGATCTTTTTCTTATTCAACAGTTTTGTTTTTAGGGTTCTGTACCCAAAGGGTAACCGACGGAACCCTATTCTCCGCTTCACTTCAGCCTCCGCTGTGCGTCTGTCTGTCAGCGGGCGTTATCTCATGGTCCGTAATAGGTAGACAGTTGAAATTTTCAGAGAATGTGTATTTCTGTTGCTGCTATATCGAGAAATAATAAAAATAAAGGTTAAAGTTAAGGGGGGCTCCTCTTCTAGAAACGTGTTTTAAGATGGTACCCTTCATGCGCTCATCCGACTCGCTCTTGGCCGGCTTTTTATCATTATTGTATACACCACTATTTCTTTATTAGCAGAAAGTATTTAAAGGTGTATTCTATGCCACCCTGCTTAATATTACCTAAAATAAAAAAATAAAAATTTTTTGAACGTAATTGCTCATTACTGAAGCAGTTACGGAACGAATTACCGAACCGGAACTCCGAACTGGAACAAATTTTCCAATAATCTTTTAATGCGTGAGATTACTTCAACAATTAATGGAATATGGTGACAGCAATGTATTCAAAAATACGTGTTCTTTTTACTTATTTGCTTTTAATAATAATAGTAATATTTTTATTTTATTAAATTTTTAAACTTATAAATGAATACTAGATTTTAAAATTTTTTTTTTGCAGACGTTTATTTTATCTATTCAAAGTCAGGTAATATTTTATAGTAGTTTAGTAAGCCTTATAATATATATATCGTCAGTGGAAAGGTAAAACTTCTAATGCGCCACTTTTTATGTAAATGAGATATGTATCACTGAACTGGGTTTTTTTGTCTGTGTTGATCTGTTCTAGGTTTTAGGATGATCCAAACAAAATGTTGGCACTTTAGAAGTACATAAAATTACCTTTATTTTTAAATTTAATGTTCTAAGGCTCCCGTTTTGTAACAACTTTTAGAAAAATTACTTTAGACGTTCCTGTTTAGAACAAAACTTCTATAAGTAATTTCAGCTTACTAAGACATTTTTGATAATAATTGGTAAGTTTTTTATACATTTTGATTTCACGCGAAATTATGTACATTATATATTTTAAATTACAGATATTTCGTTGCAGAATCACTATAAGTAAATTTGATTACTACGACCATGTCTTTTGTATTGTTAGAAAAAGAAGATGTTTTACCTATTATTGGCTTTTTAGTTCATTTCTTATTTTATTTCGCTTAAGAAAACACAATTTTCCACTGCTATTGGCAGATTAATTTAAATTAACGTGATCTAAAAATGAATGGCGCTTTAGAATTAATACGCATGCAAAAATTTTCATCGCACCACGTAAAGCAGTTTTACCTTAATACATTTTTAAACATTTTCTTAATTAAGTTAAAACGATTGCATGGAAACGATTCTTCAATAATATACAGTATTAATACCAGCTCTAAAACTCAGTACTGTTGTTAAATAAGGCAGAAATTACACTCCCTGTTAGACCTTTGGCGCGTGACTGTGCGTCGGTTAAGAAATGTCACAACGTGCTCAGTTTGAAATCGCACATCGATGAAGCACCAACAATGTCGTAAAAATAATTGCGTTTTGTTAAAAATGATTGCTTTTTGTATTATTTACGATAAGTAACTTATTCTTATTTATTTTCTGAAGTAATAGAGTAGGTTTCACGTGCAAAATTAATCATGAAAATGGTATTTTTCGCAATATAACCTTAAATATGTAAAACTGGTTAGCTCCATTTAAAATTACTATTTCGATACATTCTTTATTATATAGCTTTTTTATAGGATACGGTGACAAATAAGCACTTCTACTTAATGGTAAGTGGTTGCTGTGATCCATAGACATCTACATCTACCCTCAATCATCATCATTACAGCCCTTCACAAGTCCACTGCTGAACATAGGCCTTCCCCAAGGAATGCCACAAAGCACGGTCCTGATCCACCTGCATCCATCGACTTCCTGCATATCTTACCAGGTCGTCACTCCATCTAGTGGTGGAACGCCCTACACTTCGTCCGCCGATACGAGGCCGCCACTTCAAAACCTTTTTTCCCCAACGGTTGTCGGTTCTTCGAGCTATATGGCCGGCCCATTGCCACTTCAGCTTACTAATCCGTTGGGCTATGTCGGTCACTCCGGTTCTACTGCGGATATCCTCATTTCTAAGTTTATCACGCAGAGAAACTCCGAGCATAGCCCTCTCCATAACTCGTTGAGCGACCTGGAGCTTCCTCATCCGGCCAGCAGTGAAAGACCAGGTCTCAGTACCATAGGTCATCACTGGCAACACGCACTGGTTGTACAGTCTTGTTTTCAAGTTTTGAGGTATACCTGACGAGAAGATGTGCCGTAATTTCCCGAACGCTGCCCAACCGAGTTGAATCCGTCGATTGACCTCTCGGTCGAAGTTGGACTTACCTAGTCGGACTATTTGTCCCAGGTAAACATATTCATCAACAACTTCGAGCTTAGTGCTTCCAAAAACTACCGGCGTAGGTGTGACATGGACATTAAACATGATCTTTGTTTTGTCCACGTTCATCTTGAGATCTATCCGTTGGGAGACACTATTGAGGTCATTGAGCATAGTGCTTAGGTCCTCCAGCGATTCTGTCATAAGGACTATATCGTCGGCAAATCGAAGGTGAGTGATGTACTCGCCATTGATGTTGATACCGTATCCTTTCCAGTCCAAAAGCCTGAAAACGTCTTCCAATGCAGCGGTGAAGAGTTTTGGGGAATAACGTCACCCTATCTTACACCTTTCTGCAGTTGGATAGGTTTCTTACTTTGTTTTTGTACTCGGATAGCCATCGTAGCCCTACTGCACAAAAAACAAAACACTTCAGCACTTCGATATACCGACAGTCAACTTGGCACCACTGAAGGGACTGCAGCAACGCCCAAATTTTGACGGAATCAAAGGCCTTCTCATAGTCTACATACGCCAGACATAGTGGCAAATTGTATTACTCTGACTTTTGTACAATTTGCCGAAGGGTATGTATGTGGTCTATGATGCTAAAGCCTTTTCGGAAACCGGCTTGTTCGGGAGACTGCAAGTCGTCAAGTCTGCGCGCGAGACGGTTCGTAATGACTCTCGAAAACAGCACATAGACGCGGCTCAGAAGGGAAATCGATCTGTAGTTCTTCAAGAGAGCGTTGTCACCTTTCTTGAAGAATAAGACTACCGCACTTCTGCTCCACGCCTCCGGTGTAATGCCACCATGGAGGACGGAATTAAAGAGCTTCTGAAGGACTTCTAGTACCGGTCTTCCACCCGTTTTCAGAAGCTCCGTTGTAATTCCATCCTCGCCTGGGGCCTTGCCGCTTTTAAGGTG